CCAGCGGATTTGAATTCCATTCAAAATTCCGCGGAATTGTTTGATCAATTTGGCAGGGCCCTCTGCCAAATTTGATTCCTCCGGAATTCCAGGAATTCCCCGGATTCTGCCGGATTCCAGCAGGAATCAGTGGAGGACAATAAAGACCTCCATTTTATTGAAGTTGATTGTTGTTAAGCACTCCTGGCAAGTTACAATTGTTTTAATTGCGTCAAATGCAGATTGAAATCTGGGCGTCCACAGTGGAAACAACCTTTCAGATTCCTTTGTTGTAAGTTCTGTGAGGACGCCTGTGTGTTCCGCAATTGTTGGTAGGAAGGTGGCAATGTACTGCACAAGGCCTAAAAAACTGCGAACATCAGTGGCCAACTTTGGTTCCGGCCATGATAGAATATGTTCTACTTTCCGGTCATCGGCTTTGATGCCACAGGCGCTGATGTAATGCCCCAGGAAATCAATCTCGGTACAGAATAGTTTTGTTTTGTCTGGGTTTATGTATAGACGAGCATCGTGCAGCGCTTGGAGAACAGCACACACATTTTTCTCATGTTCATCTATTGAGTTAGACCAGATCATGATATCATCCAAGTAAATATGACAGAATTTACCCAGCAGTTGATGTAAGGCAGCAGTTACACGTCATTGGTGGATTGCCAGGGCATTTTTCAATCCCATAGGCATCACCAGCCATTCATACAGGCCCAAGGGAGTATTTATGGCGGTGAGATGAACGTGGTCCAGGTGCATCCTCGTTTGAAACAAGCTATTCGTCATGTCTATTGTGGCCCAAATTTTCCCTTTGGCACAATCAGTGAGAATGTCATCTATTCACAGCAAAGGATGTGAGTCTGTAACTGTGTTTTCATTGAGTTGATGAAAATCGTTCACCCATCGCGGTAGAACATTAGGATTTGCTTTCGGTACTATAAACACGGGAGAAGCACAGGGTGAAGACGAAGGGCGAATACGCCCAGCATCCAAATGCTGTTGAATTAAAATTTGCCATGCTTCCTTATACTTTCACGGTGAAGGGTAAGAGCATGATTTGATGGTCTTTTCCATGTCTTTTAGGTGTATTTCAGCTACCACTTCACATGGAAGTTCATCCACATGGGGGATTGGTTCAAATATTGCATGGTATTTGGTTTTTAGTTTTTGTTCCCTCAAACGCAAGGTCTCGATAGCAGCTAACATCTCAATGCGCTCATGGACCGCACCAACGACATCGAAATCTTTCACCTTTTCAGGTTTGAGTCGAGGTGCTTTATTCTATCATTGCAAACCATCATCAGTTCAGCGAGTACTACTTTTTTATCCACCTTTGTAATTTTGATCTGTTCTTTCAATTTAGGTTTCAGTGGTGGAGGCGGTTTAATAAGGGGGGGGGTTCAACAAATTGTATCCAGTCTTTTTATCTATGCAAGTATGAGGAGCCTGGTCTGTAACAATTGAATTATGTACGAGCCAGGGTAATCCGAGAATAATGGGGGCACAGAGGCCAGGAGTGACGACGGCTCTAACAGTGCACAAAGTCCAAGACGAGTCTAAGGAAGTGAGGGACAATCTAACATAATGGTACAGTTTCATTTTCTTCTGCTGGTTGCTGAATGCAACATCTATGAGTTTGGGTTCTGCCAAATCATGCATTTTCAGTCCAAGGCGTTCTACAAGCTTGGGGCGAATGAGGACCAGGTGCGCACCGTTGTCAATCAACGCACGTGTTTTCACTGGAAAATCCTCAATTGAGCTATGTGCTTGGCAATTCCAAACCAGATGTTTGCCACAGATCGGCGGACTCACCTCATGACGTGACAAATCCCCCCATCTGAATTGGAGTTATATTCTCCTGGGGAGTTGGGTAAAATTGCTGCAGCCACAGAGATGTCATCATCAGAGTTGATGTTTTCGATGGATGTGCTGGTAGTGGCGACAGGCTTGGTAGTAGGTTTCGCTACTGCCTTGCCTTTCTTAGCAGTCATAGCATCTGCGGCAGTTAGCGTCTTATAGTTCTTGCCAGCTGGGAAACCATTAGGACAATCATGGGACCTGTGATCAGTGTAGAAGTGACGGCACTTGGTACAACCATCGTGTTCATGAAGCAAATTGCACTCCATCTCTGTGAGGGCGGGAAGATGGGTATAGGAAGAGGAGGACAAGCCACTAGCTGAGGTATTGGATTGAGAGGTATTTGCGCGGCGCGATCGGCCTCATAAGGTATCATTGTTGGTGTTCTGGTGTTTTTATTGGCGCTGAGTGAGAGTTTCCTCAATTAACTTGTGCTGATGTTTGGTCTCAAGAGCACGGGCTTCATCAAGCAGGTGGACAGCTATAACCCAGGTTTTAAAAACCTTGTCCTTGCGAGCATCGCTATGTCTGACTTTCACTTTGAGTTTGTCATTGAGATGCGCTTCTAGATGATTGTGCAATGCTGCTTCATCAAAAGCAGACGGTGTGCCTCGAAGTAGACAGTTAAGTTTAAGGAGCTTCTGTGACCAGCTCCAGAAAGACGTTTTGGGTGCAGCAAGTGTCGAAGTCAAGATTTCATTACACACTTGGTCTTCCCAATCAGGGGAAGATAATTGGCTCTCATTTCAGTCATGAAATCCACAAATGGTAGGACGATGATGCGAGCATGTTCAGCAGTAATCCAGTCATGGATACGAAGGTCCTTGATCCCAGGGATAATCATAGTCACTTGTTTGTTGGCAGGGATGGACTTGGATATGAAGAAATCAAGGGCCGCATTTTCAAAATCCATCATTACTGCTGGAGAGATGTCACCCTGAGTGAGAATAGGTGCTTTTGTGCTGGTGGGATCAACAGAAGCCAGTGTAGACATCTTAGAAAATGATTTTGACTGTGTGTATGCATGTTTTTCGTCATAAGAGTCGGACGAAAGACAGAAAGATGATGGGGGAGAACTGAGTGGGGATGAGAGCAGAATGGAAACACTTGGGGAAGTTGGTGGAGGTAATGGCTGCTGTGACAGCAAACGGTTGTTCCTAACCTGAGTGGTCAGTGTCAAACCATTGAGAATCAGCAGCTGTTGAGCAGAGGCGGTGGTGCAAGTGAAACAAAGGTGTTCCAGTATTGTGGCGAATGGTGATGGCTAATGACAGTTTAGTGGTACAGGCACAAGGACCCTCCACTGTTCATGAATGGAATATCAGGGTTGACATGTCATGAACGACAGATGCAATGTGGATGTACAAGACAGCATATACATCTGCCAAACGATAACCTGGTTAAGGCCTCAAAAGGTGGTGTCTATGCACATGTCTAGATATGTCAGAACCAATAATGGCAGCGAAAAATTCAAAAAAAGTGGAAATCTATCCTGTGATCACAGGATAGATAACACTACTCACAGAAACCGTCAGAATTTAACTGCTTATATGATTCTGAGGGTATCTAGATGATAAAGGTACAGGAGTGGAGGTGCGTATGCAGAGAATGTGGTGGTGCATGGTTAAGAGAGGGAAGTGCATATGTAGAGAACCAAATAGTCCAGGAGCCGATGCCAAACAACTGCCTGATGTAGTAATCCCAGGATTACAGCAACCCCTTTTCCTTCAAGATTACCTCTGCATCATCCTTTCTCCTACATTCATTTGCTTTATCAACTGTTGCTTTACTTTCCTCTCCTGTCCAAAGAGGATACTTTGTGGAAGCATCAGAAAGCTTGTCAGATGGAACAAGGCAAACTGGACAAGGGCATAAGCCCATCTTGTCCCGAATCAGAGCCATTACACATCTATGTGATTTTAATGTGCTATAAATCAAGTATATTGGAGGTACTCACTGTTCCTCATAGTCAGCTGAAAGAATTAAAATCAAGGGAAAAAGTCTGCAGAGAATGTCGTCACCACACTTGAACCAGAATCCAAGTTTTGAATGGTCACGAATAGATTCAAGGAGTTTTCGAAAAGATTCATGCCAGACAACTGTTTTGAAGTCAACATAGGCTTTTTTTCCTTTCTCACTCTCATCTTCTTGGACCTACAGAATTTGATATCAATTTATGTATTACCAATTTACTTTGAGAAAAAACTTATGATTGGCTGCCATCCAACTACACGACCACCTCCAATACCTTCACCATTTCAAATCCAGTCAGGTAGGTTGGCACATCTTGCTATTATTGGATAAGCCTTTTCTGTACCAAATGATGATAGTTTCGCTTTATCTGCATAAAGGATGATGCAAAATGGTTTTCCATCTTGAGGAAGATGTGACTTTTGACAAGTCAGATTGTAATTTAACAACAACTGTAAGAAACTTACTTGAACTGCCCACTGCCTGTCTGCTGTTCATGGTTCATGGTAGAATCAGATAAAATGTTGCCCATCAAACTTATACAGCCACTGTGCATCCCACTCAAAGTGTGGAGCAAGCTGGGGGTTTCCCACAAGGTCCAACACCCAATCCCAGAGGTTTTGGTGATGGAATTTGAAGTGGTTCTCAGTTGTCCAATACTTTGCTGTGACAATATCCTCCTGAAACTACATAAAATATTTTCAGCCCAACACAAAGTTGTTGTTAGTAAAAACCCACTGGAGTCATCATATGAGAAGCCTCTTTCCATATTTCTTTGATGTTTTGGTGGCTTTTCAGTGTAAATGGCACATCAGGTGAACAGCAGTCTTGAAAAATTTGAAGCAATCCATTAACATCCTCCTCCTTCATCTGAGATTTGAGGATAATCTCTGCAAATTCAAAATCTTTTCTGGTTGTAAAAGGGTACCAGGGCTTTCCATATTTATGAAATAGAAGTGGCTCCTTGGGTGAAGAAAGGCCATAGTCTTCAAAATGATCAATTTGGGTTGGTCGACTGCTGTGAAGGTGGTGTTTGGTCTTGATATCATCAATCTCATAGCTGAGTTCATCATCCTCATCTTTTGGATATGAACTACATTAGTAATACTAAGATAGTATAGAGTGTAACATACAAGGCTCTGAGTTGCCAACCGTGGTAAATAAAGGAGGACTATTTTTGATTTCTATAGGAGCAGGTTCACTTCCTGTGACGATGACTGATGTAGACCCTGAGCTTTCATCAGGCTGAGCTTCTATATCTGAATTGTCACTCAGGTCATTCTTGTGCTTTCGTCGGCAAGAAGTTTGGTGTGCTCCAATACTGAGTGCGTTAAAAGGCAAGTTACAATACTGACAATTGACCTTTTCTTTAGGCTTCTGACATGTCGATTTATGAGCCCTGAGGGCACTAGGCATTGTCATGGGTAACCCCAGGGTACTTTCGGCCATACCCGTACCCCTACCCATGAAAACCCATACCCTCAACCACGGGTAGGGGTTTCTGTGGGTATGGGTATGGGTTTACACGGGTTTGGCGGGTTTGGCAGGTCTTAGGGGTTTAACACTACAGGTATTTCTATTATGTGTTACTTGGTAATGTACCATACAAATTCTATGATGTGGGTGCATTGTTGGTAGGTAAAGCTTGGGTAAAGCCAGCATGGGTTTGCGATGCAACGAACACGTTAGTCCTTGTCTATTGTCATGGCTCGTCGTTGTCGCTGTTCCCCCCTTCTGCCCATCCGTAGCTATAAAGTCACCTTCCTTGCTATGCTCCCTTTATCCATCCTCACCAGCAGCTTGCATTTCTCAAATGTGAACACGACGTACTTGGTGGGTATTTGGGCGTGTCATGTATCATCGTCGCCACTCCCCCCTTCTGCCCATCATCATTGTCATCACCATCCATCGTGTTGGTGTTGTGTTGTGCTGCCGTGTCGTGATTATCGTTGTCATGGTGTTACGTCGTGATTGTGGTTATGAATAGTGGCCTGGTTGTGGTGCTGTGTGGTTGTCTGCCACGTCCATCATCGTCTTTGTCACCGTCCACTGTGTTGGTGTTCCGTTTTGCTGCCGTGTCGTGGTTATCATTGTCATGGTGTTACGTTGTGGTTGTGGTGTTCCATGGTAGCCTGGTGGTCATGGTGCTGTGTGGTCATTGTCGTGTCGTGTGTCATTGTCGCAACGTGGTGGGAGTCGCATCGTGGTCATTGTGTCGTGTCTCGCTGTGGAGGGACAACGTCGATGATTGTCATCGTCGTCTGTCATCATTTGCCATCATTGTTTGCTGTTGTAGTTTGCTGTCAAGTGGATATACCCTGCCCATGGACGAGTAGTCCGATGTCGTCGTTACATCATTGTCCTGTGTCTCAGCATGGTGGGTTGTAACGAACATGGGATGGGGGTACACACCGTAGTCACCTCAAATAAACAATGACGACATGGCACCCATATTCTGTGTTGAAGAGATCAGTGATGCAGGGGAGGTGAGTTTGCTCACCTCAGCGCGTCGTCGTCTGTTTTTGTTTGTGGCCGTCGTTCACAAGTGGCTACCATCTTTATCATAAAACTAAGGCACTTGCCTGTAGAGCTGTGTGTATAAGTCCACAAGTTTTATGAAAGGCCTTTCATAGGTGTGTCCTGTGTCATTCTTTCTCATAAAGGCTATGTTCTTTTCATAAAATGTAGGCAAAGACCACAGGACCCTTTCATAACATTTCTTAGGAGCTTTCATAAAAGCTTTCATAATTATTATCATGCACTTTCTATGAATTTTTCATTGAAGCTGTTCAGTTCTTTCATTGTACTTTTCATGATTAAACCTGTGCACTTTCAATAGGTATTTCATTCACTGGGTTAGGTGTATTCATTGCCTTTTTCATAATTAATGCTGTGGGCTTTCATTGAATATTTCATTAGGAATATTGGATGCTTTCATTGTACTTTTCATAATTAATGTTGAGCAATTTCAATAAATATCTCATTCCCTAGGTCAGGTGTATTCATTGCCTCTTTCATAATTAATGCTGTGGGCTTTCATTGAATATTTCATTAGGAATATTGGATGCTTTCATTGTACTTTTCATAATTAATGTTGTGCAATTTCAATAAATATCTCATTCCCTAGGTCATATTATGGTCCATCCAATGGGGCATTGGGAGGGTGGTCACATGACCAATTTCCAAAAATGGTAAAAAAGACAAAAGTTGTAGCTCTTTACCATAGCTTCCTGAATCAGTTGGAATTATGTCCTAAAGTGCTTCCATTGTGGAGATATGAGGTAAAAGGTTTTCAAAAGTGCTGCATTTTTTTTTGTTTTTTGCATTTTTCTACGTGAAAAGAACACTAAACAACATGATTTCAACAGATTTAGAAAGCTAAGAGAAGGGGCTACAACTATTATATCATGGGAAATTTCTCCCAAAAAGGAAGGTACATGCCCTAAAAGGGTAATTGACACTGACAGACTACAAAAGATTGCTGATATACTACAAAAGTAAGTTATAGCCTACAAAGTTTACTAATAGACTACAAAAGTTGGACATAGACCACAAAGGTCAGACAAAGACTACAAAAATTAGTAGTGTCTGCTTTTCTCATTACAAAAGTTAATAGTGTCCGCTTTTTGAGACTACAAAAGTTAGTAGTGTCTATTTTTTCGGACTACAATGGTTTGTAGTGTCCGCTTTTTGAGACTACAAAAGTTAGTAGTGTCTGCTTTTTTGGACTACAATGGTTTGTAGTGTCCGGTTTTTTCATTACCAAAGTTAATAGTGTCCGCTTTTTACAAAAGTTAGTAGTGTCTGCATTTTCGGACTACAATGATTTGTAGTGTCCGCTTTTTGAGACTACAAAAGTTAGTAGTGTCTATTTTTTCGGACTACAATGGTTTGTAGTGTCCGCTTTTTGAGACTACAAAAGTTAGTAGTGTCTGCTTTTTTGGACTACAATGGTTTGTAGTGTCCGGTTTTTTCATTACAAAAGTTAATAGTGTCCGCTTTTTACAAAAGTTAGTAGTGTCTGCATTTTCGGACTACAATGGTTTGTAGTGTCCGCTTTTTTCATTACAAAAGTTAATAGTGTCCGCTTTTTGAGACTACAAAAGTTAGTAGTGTCTGCTTTTTCAGGCTACAATGGTTTGTAGTGTCCGCTTTTTCCATTTCAAAAGTTAATAGTGTCCACTTTTTGAGACTACAACGGTTTGTAGTGTCCACTTTTCTGACATATAGTATGTAGTGTGGTTAACTATGTATATATAGGTCATTGGGGATATGATTGAAGGATTGGGATGAGTTGACATTCTGCCACTTATGAATAGTTGCTTTTGATGTCAGGTCCATGGCTGTTTTCCATACTT